AGTAATGAAGAAATTTAAAAGAAAATTTCTAATTTTGTTTTAAAATTATGTTTTAGATTATTATTTCCATTTATTTAAAGATATTACAAATAGATAAATATTAAAAATAATTTATAGTTTTTGTCTTAAGAAAATTACAAATTTTGTTTAAAATTTTTGCTGGTCAAAAATGGGAAAATAAATTTCAAATAATGTTTATCATTATGTAAGTTATTTTTTAAGGTAAGGAATTGTGAAATGCCCTATGTGTTAAATGACTAAGGAACTCTACCAGGCCAGGGTTTTCTCCAGCAGTTCAACTATCAATATGATCGTCTTTGTCGTCACAGAATCTAAGAGGTGACTGTAACTGAACTTAGAGGTAGGCTCTACTTTCGGATACCTCTATAAAGCTCATGTGCAACGACATAGCATCAGAGTTCGCTCATTGAACCACTCTACCCTGTTTTTAAAAAAATTGGAGTTCTTCCCGGGTTCTTCATTCTGCTCTTTTATGATGCAAATATTTTGACTATGCTGGGCGGGTCATGACACGTGCGGCACAACCCTAAGGACTAGTCCTAGGCCAAAAACACAAGTCACGGACCACGGTGAGGATGCCATACAAAATCCGGGTCGAATCATGCTTCCATTCATACCAGCGACGCGTACCTAGGTGTATTCAGTCTCAAGCCGAATAATATCGGTGGTAAGCAAATCCGATAATTAAGCGTATCCATTTCTTATTACTGTAAGCGCACCAAGGCTCTGGCGTTGTTTATGTCATTTTTGTGTTGGCTAGAGTACGTGAATTTGGATGCAACAGGCGCCCGTTCTGTCGCGCTACGAACATCCCTCGTACATTTGTCAAGGGAGGCAAGCAAGCCTACCGTCTAACTCTGTTACGACCAAAGTTTCACGCGACTATCACGGAAAGCGCCCACGGAACCATTCAATAAACAAAACTCAGGCGTCTAACAAGGCGGACATTCATTTGCCTCGATTCAGAATAGTGTGCGGTACGGAGCACTATCGATTGAGTTCTTGCGACGAGATGCTATTCCCCGGCTCGCCTCAAATAGCTCGTATTGCGCTGTTAGGTTCACTTCACCCGCCATTATGATTCTCTCTGCGTTTGCGGTTATCATTCTCCTGCCAATTGCCATCGCCAGCAGTGGCGTGCACAAGCTCAAACTTCATAAGGTTCCTCGAGGAATTGTTGACTCAGTTATAGAGTCTGCCTACTTGTCGGAGAAGTATCGTGGACAGGCCCAACTACCGTTAACGGGCACAGATGGCCCGAGTCACCAGCCTGGTCCAATCAGTGATAAGATAGCAAATGGCGGGCATAAAGTCCCGCTCAGTGGTAAGTTGAAGGATCGTTCGTTTAGCCCTTGGATCCACGCAATGACGCCCTCTACGCGTAGACTTCATGAATGTCCAATACTTCACGAATGTCACTCTCGGTTCTCCTCCTCAAGAGTTCAGGGTTATTCTGGATACAGGTAGTTCAAATCTATGGGTCCCCAGCACCAAATGCAGGTCCTTCGGATGTTCCATGCATGCGAAGTATAATTCTTCTGCATCGTCAACGTATCAGGAGAATGGGACGGACATCCATATCACATATGGCTCTGGCTCCATGGAAGGATTCGTCTCAAAGGATGTTGTCACCATCGGCGACCTCAAAATCGATGGACAGGACTTTGCCGAAGCGACGAAAGATCCGGGTCCAGCATTTGCGTTTGGAAAGTAAGCGAGCCCATTTCTGCGTGCACTTTGCATGCAGTTAACTGAACCTGGCCTAGGTTTGACGGAATCTTCGGGCTCGGCTATGATACTATTTCCATCAATCACATTACGCCCCCTTTCTACAGCATGGTCAACCAGGGATTACTTGGCGCACCTATCTTTTCTTTCCGGTTCGGTTCATCGGAGGATGACGGCGGTGAAGCAACCTTTGGCGGTATTGATGAATCGGCATACACAGGGGAGATCAACTATGCTCCTGTTCGTAGCCGGGAACACTGGGAAGTCGAACTTCCTAAATATGCCTTTGGTGATAATGAGTTCATTCTTGAAAATACTGGCGGCGTGATCGACACTGGGACCTCCCTCATCAATTTGCCTGTCGACGTTGCAGAGAAGCTGAATGCCCAGTAAGTGGATAAAGCACGTACTGTGATTTCGATAATTTATGGTCTTCTCTGCTTGAAGGATTGGTGCGAAGAAGTCCAGGACTGGGCAATACACAGTTGACTGCAAGAAAGTCCCCGAATTTCCCGAATTCACTCTCTGGTTCAATGGGCAGGCCTATCCTCTCAAGGGAAGCGACTATATTATCGAAAGCCAGGGTTTGTGCACCAGTTCCTTCACTGGTATCAATATCAATGGACCTGGTGGCGCACTCTGGATCATTGGTATGCACTATTCGTCATATATTGAGATATGCTACTGAAGCCCGTTTTGCAGGCGATGTTTTCCTGCGCCGCTACTATACGGTATTTGATCTTGGAAACGATGCTATCGGTTTTGCGAAATCGAAATAAGGTGTCCAAATTCGAGTTGAAATTAGTTGCTCCACCTCGTCATTAGAATAGGAAGACTTGCTTCGTCGAATACAGACGTGATCTCTTAATACAGGCATACTAGTTTTGCGATGAATATACTAGTGAACGGAGTGCTTGAAGATACTGCAGTGGGAATAAGCTTCCGTTGTCCAACTCCTCAATAGAAAATACCCACCGGGTAATTATGGAACATTCGAAACAATACCTTGGCGGGTCGTTAACTGCTGTAAGGTACTGTTCGGTTTGAAGCTTTACTAGTGTGATAAATGTCGGATAAGAGAGTCTTAAAGACTGCATGATCGATATCAGTTTATTGTTCTTGTTAATATTCACGTAACAGTTATTCCTAGTTGGCCATTCTGTGTACAGGACTTCATATGACCAAAAATCACTCACAAGTACAAGCCTATGGTCATGTCTAAGTTCACGCCAGTCTCTCCCTGTGCGTGCAATTGGACAATGCCAGGAGATAAATACTCGCCGAGCAGTTCCTTAAATCGTTTGCTTGGCTAGGACAATATACAAATACAAAAGCCTTATTCAAAACACGCTTCCATGCATAGCGGTAGCGTCGTGTACCTGACAGTCTTTGACCTCCTTGCGAATAAGAGTCGGAGGCAGGCCATCCCGATAATGAAACTTATCTTTATTCGTAATTTCTTTGGGCGTCTAGTCGCTCCTAGGCTGTATTTAATCTAGTAGGTGAAATACTGCTCGGTAAAGTAATGGATTCGTAACTGCTTGTCGCGCCCACCGTAGGAGAAAAGAAACAAGCGCCCGTTCAATCCTGACATGAACAAGGAGTGCGCCCCCGTCTTGGTGCGCAAGGTCATGCGCGCGCCCAATCGTTTCAAGACATGGCTTCGCGTATTAAACGCAGGAACCGCTAACTAGATACCCTGACATGCACATACTACACAACCTGTAAAGTACGTTAAACAAAAAAAGCAGAAATTGAATGTGCGCTTTGCATTTTATGATCACTTTTGTGAACGAGAAAGCAATATTCATTGAGGCTCAATGCCTCAGATGTCCAGGAACAGATGCATTAATGTTGTCCGTCCATTTCCTTCTCGACGGGCAGTAGATCATTTTATTTCAATCTTAACCATTGGCATTCCTCCACACTCCTAGACTTCCCGTGTCTGCTCAAACGCAAATATAACTCCATTAGGCAAACTTTAAGTCAAATTATATGCTAATAGCCAAGAGCGCGAGAATCACGGTTTAATCATAACTTTAGACGCCCAAGTTAGGAGGGAAGCTTCGCCGGATGCTTGGAAGCTCGGTGTCTCGGAGGGAGGTACAATCTACATCGTTACGTAACTCTGCAGCGTATAGCTCTGTAGGACTCAATGCATTTCAGACGCCAGAGGTAGCGCCTTTTCAATTTGCTGCATTTAGAGATAATTCTCTGCCAGGTCGCAATGCAGAGCTCCTTATTATCTACTCAGTGCTTTAGTAGGTATAAAATGCGAGCGTTCAGGACTCGTTAAGCATCATCTCTCGACTACCCCGCTCAACCATGGCTGCTACTACTGAGACTATGAAGAAAGGCTCTCTGACCATTGCTGGATCAGGCATTGCCAGTATCAAGCATATGACTCTTGAGACGGTGTCCCACATCAAAGAGGCCGAGAAGGTCTACTACATCGTCACCGACCCTGCGACGGAGGCGTACATCAAGGATAATGCTGTCGGAGCATGCTTCGACTTGCGCGTCTTCTACGATACGAACAAGCCTCGTTATGAATCATATGTCCAGATGTCCGAGGTAATACAGCTCCTTTAGTTTCTGCATTGCGATGCTAACTAGTGAGAAAGGTCATGCTGCGAGACGTGAGAGTGGGCCATTCGGTCCTTGGGATCTTCTACGGCCACCCAGGTGTCTTTGTATCGCCCTCTCACAGAGCTATCGCTATAGCGAAAGAGGAGGGTTTCCAGGCTCGAATGCTCCCAGGTATCTCGGCCGAGGACTACCTGTTCGCCGACATTGGATTCGACCCTGCCGCTCATGGTTGCATGTCATACGAAGCCACTGAACTTTTAGTCCGAAACAAGCCATTGAACACTTCCACGCATAACATCATCTGGCAAGTTGGAGCCCTTGGTGCTGAAGCAATGGTATTTGATGTGAGCAAGGCAATTGCATATCACGGAATTTCCAGTACTAATACCTATGTGCCATGCAGAATGCCAAGTTCAGTTTGCTTGTCGACCGTCTTGAGCAAGACTATGGTTCCGACCATAAGGTCGTGCATTACATTGGCGCTATCCTCCCCCAGGCGGATCCAACTGTCGAGGCGTATATCGTTGCCGACCTTCGCAAGGAGGACGTCGTGAAGCAGTTCAACGCGATATCTACGCTGTACATCCCTCCGCGTGTCGCTGGCAAGTTCTTGGATGACATGGCTAAGAAACTCGGAATCGCCGATTCTGCAGCCTATCTGAAGAATCACTATCCACAAGCACCGTACACTGGACCCGAGTTTGCCACTGATCCCGCTTACGGACCTCGCGAGAAGGCTGTCATCGACCAGATTGACAACCATGCTGCGCCAGAGGGACACACGGTCCTCCATGCTTCGGATGCACTGAAGAAACTGAATACTGACCTTGCGCTATCTCCAAAATTCCTGGAGGAGTACAAGGAAAACCCGATGCCGATCCTTGAAGCGATGGATGGTCTCACCAACGAAGAGAAAGCCGCACTTATGCAAAACCCGCTTGGCGCGACTCATGAGTTAATGTGGGCAACCCCAGATGAGATAGCCAACGGACGCGCGCTTCCTGTCGTTAACTTTATGGCGTACGGTGGCTATGGGGGATACTATGGAGGAGGATGCAGGCCCTGCCCCTGCTGCGTCGTCACGGTATGCAACTGTTGTTAAGCGCTTTGCTTCATGATTCAGGATCGATGGTCTTCAGGAGGGGTGAGCACAAAAATTTGAAGTGGTATACCTTTGACCGACTAATGGCATCTCATTTACTCCGTCCAGATCACCACTTTCTCTGCACCACGAAGTTGACCGGCAGCTTTTTCTTCCATAACTTGACCCCTTTACAATATCTTTTCTTCCATTATCCAATGGGATTCAACATCACTACAGGCTCAATGTAGTGTATCGATACGCTGTCCTCATGACCTGTCACTCGCGTAAACTTATTATGTGCTCAGTCAAACAAATGCAATATGGTGAACAATTTAAATGTCTGAATTTTACATATGACGTTAGCCAGAATAAGTAAATATATACTCGGAAACCCACCTCGAATATCACCCAATTTTAGCAATCTTCAAGGGGAAACACACGAATCTGTATGAACAGGTCGCGAGAGCAACAGAAATATCCATGCTGAGGAACAATGCCGATTCGGTAGTTGTGACATCATTGTGTCCTGACGCATATAAAGTGTATTCATCCAGTGCATGTCGCAACGACAATCAGTCTCCAACAAGACATTTCGCGGATATTTCTCTGTAAAGTGCAAAGATTATGTATTATAACGTCTACTCAATATAGGTGATGGTGCAAGTGAACAGATGGACACAAGTTAAAGGATTTGGCTGACGATACGAGGATTCCAGTTTACTCTCGTCCCAATTTCGATGGTGTCTTTCGTTTGGCATGCGTTATGAGTTCTGCACAAGAGGAGCTTCAGCATGTCGGCATTGATCGAGTTCCATGTGGTGATTCCAAGAAAAGTTTCATCCGCCGAAGTTAAATCGGAACTAATCGGGTAAAAAAACGTAAGTCAATCGTATGCAAGTGACACTGGCTACTTACATGTCATGAATACGAGACCTGTATCAGGAGCGGTATTGCCGAGGGAATAATGGACCTAAGTCGCGCCACCCTTTGAGTCTGAATCTCCACTTAAACTTCGGAAGAATTCAGCATAAGCGTAATCGACATCGAACAATAGCTAGCAAAGTTGATACACCCGGTAAGAGCCAAAAGTCATTCAGAATAGACAAAGACAATTTTACCTGCCGAGTCTGTTCTTCTGTGAGCTCTTCTGAGGCCTTCATACCGTTCAAGGTGATTAACCTGTGTGTTGCAGCAACTTCATGTTTATGGCCGTGCAGAGAGAAGCACACGAGGGAAAACATACCAAGATACCATTCGACTACGACCCTCCCAGTCTTTGCTTGCTTTAAACCTCGCATAATTCGTCATAAGCCCTTGCAAGATTGGATGAAGCTGGTCCTTTGCGCGCATACGCAATCGAAGTGCATCCATGAATGTGATAAAACTCTGTGGGCGAATATGAGATTAAAAAGAAATAAATTGAGATTAAGGCACAACGCTGACCTGAGTAGTCTCAGCCACCCATTTGCCGGTTTCTGGAATCTGGAAGTCGCAGGTTCGAGCCCTGCAGCGAGCACGTATTTTTTTCTTGTTTCGCTGGCGCAAGCAAGAAATGCAGACACTGAGACAGCATGGGCAGTCAGTAGGTGACTTCAATTAATTGGCAGGAGCACTTGCAGGACAGTTGGAAAATTTTGGGGTGGCTCGGCAAAGTGGACGTACCTTAATATATACCAAATAGAGATGTAAATCCGTGCAACTCTCTGCAAGTGTCTGCAAGTGCTCGAACCCACTTGTTGGCACTTGCAAACGTGTCAGAGTTTGAAATAAAGAAATGTCTGACTACAACCCAACAAAAATCATGAGTAACGTGACATGGGCATTAAATGTCGATCTCTGCAAGTCCAGCTCTTCAATTTTGAGAGACTTGCATAACTCTTGGCATCTTAACTCTAAATTGCCAAAGCCCTTCTGCAAGTGTCTCTGCCAATTAATTGAAGTCACCTAGTGTTCACGAATTGATAAATTACTTATTTTGGAATACAGACGCGTGACGTCCCCGGTTTCTGGGATGCATATGTGTGATTGTGTCGCGTTGTCTCGTCTTTGCAGTTTGGTGCCATTAACTCACTTGAACTCTCACCACAATGTCAATGTCTGCACAAGCACCGATATCGCTCGACGAAGAAGTGAGACTGTATACGAACAATGCAGAGCGCGAGAAATATGGACTGCTTGCGACGCTTTTTGGCGTCATAGTTGCCCTCGACTACCTGGAGCGTGCGTACGTGCGTGATGCAGTCCCTGCTGCCGAGTGAGTCCCCATCATTTCCTTTCATTGTTCCTTTTCAATGCACAAGGGTACTAAGTGAATATCCTTGCCATATATTCAATGCTCAAGAGATATTCGCCGGCTTGCACCAGACTATTGTCGCAGTACAAGACAATGCTTAAACTCGTATCGGACGATGTGCCATCAATAGAAGATTTCATGGCTCGATATAGGGTGAGCTATACGCTAATCTTGTTAGCAATGTATGAATACTCAGAAGCACTATTGTGATGCAGATGGACCACCCAGCTGCATTACACCGTATGAAGGTCGGAGTGCCTGCTACTGTGGAGCATTCGAGTGATGCTGGCAAACTCATCTTCCTATACCGGAGGTCATACAAATATATGAAACTGGCACTCTAGCCAACTGAGCTAAGCAAGCCGAGTCACATACCTATTTCGAATATTATCACATATTTAGTACAGAAATGCTTTGCGATCTGACCAGTTCTGACGCAGCAGTGATCGATGATCCTCGTCAGACTCTGGACGCCCACGCAACACGGGTCACTTACAATTGTTGAACTGGTCACGACAGACTGCTCTAAACGATGTACTGGAAAACTCAATGACGTGATCCTACATGCTTCTTCAAAACACTAACTCTACTTCAGAAAGGCAAGCTTTTACGCCTTCTTCAATTTTTATCTGAATTTGCCAACCTTACAATTTCCTTCGCCAAAGCGTTCACAGTCGGACAATCAAATACGAGACTGTATCCGATTTCGCTCGTCGGAATTTTAGCCTCCCGAAACGCATGCAGAAGCGTGTTCCTGATTTGCGTTGCCTGCAAACTGTCGGACATAAAAATAACGATCGCTATTACAAATCTTAAACTATGAAAACGCACCTATCACAGCCAAATTCAAATAGATTGTCGTCGTCTCTCACTGCGTTCCTGAGAGTTTGTCCAACTAACATTCGTACGTACTCCATTGTAGAGACTTCATCCCAAGTTACTGGAGGTGACGGTCCACTGCTGCCTTGTGCGGAGACTGTTTCGTACAGCTCATTGATTTCCTTCTCGTACAGGGTCACTGAGACGTGCCGCCTTGGGTTACCCTTCGGAGTGTATTCAAACGGCTTTGACGGATCCGTCACAATGATCATCTGAACCGAGTACTTTAACAAAAAGGTCATATTCGAAAGGAAATTCAGTACCTCTTTGAAGATTCTCGAGTGCGTTGGAGCAAATGCATTTGCCTTTTCGACGTATGGCCTATATTTGTATAATAATTGACGTTAAACAAGTCAACGGTCTGATATTATGAGCGCACAACATACCAGATATCGTTCCTGAACTGCTCCAGCAATTTTCCACCATCTTCTCCTTTAACACTGAATGGCATCTTTGGCTCTAAAATCACTCCATTCTGGAATCTGCCACGCCCAAACATGAGTGCATTCACTACAAGCGGGCTACGAGTAATAATATGCTCTTTGATCGTGTAAGTATTACTATATGAGATACATGTTTGTATGTAGCACAAACCCATAGGTCCTGGATTCGTCTATTGGGTTCGGCAATAGACAGAGATAATAAGCTTCTGGAATGCTATGAACGAGAAGAAGGATGGTACGAGAATACCTTCTCTCCTGACGAAAGCATAATTTGGTCATCCGCACGTCCAAGTATCTTGTACAGTCCAGGAACACTAGGATGTGCGACAAGTAAATCACTCGTTGCATATGCATTTTCATTTGCTCCGTCCAATGCTATGTTTGTATTAGTTGGCGTATGTGTAGAGCATGGCTTAGAAAGTACATTAGTCAATGTCATATATAGTTAAAGAGACAGTACCTTGACTACTAGTTCAAAAACGTGCTCTTCTGAGTCGGTGACTTCACTCTGAGGAACGAGTACAGGTTCCACATGAGGAGAAAAGAAGAAATACTCCCAACCAAACTGTTGTGATTCCTCTGTTATCAGAATCAGCAGCGCGTTTTGTATTCGTGTATTTAGAACAATTACTTGGCATGCATCTTGTGACGACACCCATTTCCGTTCTACAAATAAATGCCATCGGACCAAAGTGTAAGATAGCGTAAGTGAATTTGAGTGTAGTGCACCTACGCTCCATAAATATGCCACAAGGGAACACCTTCCGATTCAAGGACGTCACCGACTGCCTTACTCAGAGGTGCTCCTCCGAATACCTTTATGACCTTAATATCAGAAAGATGAAAACTTGCAGAAACATGTATCATTTTACAATTCCATTAAGCTTCTTAAGTATTTTGACACTTTCTGGCTGAGAACTCCACTCCTAAAGAGGCAGATAATCAATTTAGGCATGTAGAGTAGAAAATAGTTAATCTTAATAACCTCCATAAAGTGAGGTATTCCGAATAAAAGCGTTACTCCGGTAGCTATGCAGCTAGCCAGTTGACTTGCGGGAGTCAGTCCAATAGGAGGTTGCGTTGGCCTAAAGACCGAGAGACGCATCCCGGTGGCAGGCTAAAAATAAGAGTAACTTAGTAAATGTATGCTTATGCTTGTATTGTAATAGGAAGGAACTCACAGCCCAACAGGTATGGAAGAAGCCAGACACGTCTTTAATCATTGTTGGAAGAAGCCAAGATTATTTTATGAAAAATGCATTGACATGACTAACTCACGGAATAACGGCAATGCATGAACTGCCATCGTCTCGCAGTGTATGTCGCGCTCTCCGAACCCTGTATCGACAAGGGTAAAAAGACAGAATGTGAATTAAACAATACCTGTAATATTTCTTGAGAAAGATTACGACGTACAAGGCGAGCGTGCCATTTGTAAAAGGATTCTATGAGTTAGATGTCTAAGTTTTGGAAATGCTGTGGAGCCTATGTACAAATTAAATGTCAGGGCAGTGATCAGAGAGCTATATGTAGAAAGTAGGGCTCGCCTGATGAGTGCAAAATAAGTGCAGGAGAATCTAAATCAGGCTTCTCGGCGGTCGGCAAGAGTTGAAATTCCCCAGCATCGTCATCAGGGAAGAGGGTACCGAACGATGGCATAGGAAGCACTACGATAGACGGTCGACATGTACCCTGTCTATTACTTGGACCATCGCTTTTGAGTTTGTATTCTGATAAACCGGAGCCAATTTCTTCTAAAGCAGACCTGCAAACCTTCTGCATAGCATCATCTGCACTGACGAAAATGTGACATGCAGTTGTCTGTTGAAGCATATTTGCAACTCCAATTGCTGAATTGCGAATCGATATTGGAAACGGCTGGATCCCTGCTCGCATAAGGCCAAGCAAAAAACATTGAAATGTAATTGTATCTGTTCAATAGTTTACGAGCTCCGCTCTAAAATGATACTATATATTTAGCTTACCCGAATTTGCAAGAACTGCAACCGTTATTGGATCCTGGCGAGAACCGGCTTCCCCAGACTTCAAGGCACCTCCAAGTTGTTCAGTTGCATATACTTGTGCTCTATGAATTCCACGCTGTGCCTCTGACCAAGATATTGTTCGTACTTTTCCTGCGTCTGCCTCGTATATATAAAGGGGATGATTTTTAGAGTGTTCACCGTGGTAATCGTAAAGTTGGTGAAGAACAAAAGAACCGTCAAGAGGAGGCACTGAGAAAGTCTTGCTTTCGTTTGCTTGGACGGTTCGGAAGCCACTGGTCGAGAGGGACATGGCGGACAGGCGGATGATTTGGCAGCGTGCCCTGGGTACTTATTGGATGTTGGTAAGCGGACCAATGTCGGCAACATGACACTCAAATCGATGACATTAATGGTCTGAAGAGGCGCGGCAAGGGCGTCTTAATGAAGCAAGCCGTAAGTCGTCGGAGAAAGTGGGTAATATTAATAAGGTAAATATAACAGTTGAACGCCTCATGCAAAAACTAAAGAACGCTAATACGCTCTTTCCGTGATCTAGGAGCATCGTTTCTGCAAATCGGTGACCTCTATGTCGTTGATATGCAATGTGGCATATAGTTTGAAGACCGCATCACTTCTCAGTGTTCCACCGAAGCACATGGAAGGGAAGCACCTCCTTGACTAGTTGAGTAAATGCCAATTTAGTTCACATGTTGGCATGATGTTGTACTACATCACTTTTGATAGCAGATAGAATCATTGCTGCGCCGCTCTACATCTGATCGGATAGAATATGTATTCTTATGGTAAACGGATTCTCAAGAATAGTGTGACCAACGGATTTAATTGAAACGATTCTTGGAGTCCCAACAACATATTTTCTGACGGGCTGATGCTGAGCCACCGCATTCGTACAAAATCCCCATAGCAAGGTTTATGTAAGCAATGATTATAATCTATTCGATTAAAAAAAATATCAATAGCTATATATTTCAGTATGCGCTTACTATGCATACACGCAACACACATGCTGGTTGTGGACCAGTAGCCTGTGTATTGGAAATGGATTTGGCTTAGCCGATAGTTCCGAGGAAATACGACCCCACCACACGACGGATTCATGTAGGCAAGGTGAAATTCGAGCACCTTATAAAGGTTTAGTTTCTCACGTCATGCGGAAGATATTTATCCACTTTAAAGCACTTTCTTCGCAAGTGGATTCTCCGTTTGTTTTTCAAATTGCCGACACGTTCCTTATTGCAAGCCACCCGTCAAAGTTCATTTTCTTCTCATGCTATTTCACAGAGCATCATCACTCAAACGGTGGTCCTACTCCTGTTACGTTGTTCCCTAACCTAAGATATCTCCCCTATCGTCAACACGAACGCGCTTTTGCCCAATCCTCTCACTCAGCCCGCCTTCGTGTGATGCAAATATCACAGAACCGGCAAAGTTCTCACATATTTAGTTACCCTGGCTCCTTATGATAAGTTCGGACATGCTTCTTGGAAACCCGAGTTATGTCACCACAGAATATATCGGGAGCTATCATTACCGGTCTCATGTAATGTTGCCACAAGACGCATAGCTTGAACCAATCCTATATAGAGCCGACTGTCAAACTACTCTTAAGTCCGATCGGCGTTTAGCACCTGGCTTCAAACTCAAGCTATGAGTACCGACCCTGCATTCGCTGCAAGTATACATCACTTGTATGTACCCATTCGATTTTCATTCCTGTTCAAAACTGAGAAGGACTCGACTAGAACGGTTGCGAAGCAATATGCGACTGCAAGCTGGGGTACGAGAGCAACTCCTTTGAGCAGCTTGAGTCCCTTATCTGAAATTAAAATTACCATTCTCACTTCTTGAAGTTCTGGCTATATATGAGTACATTATTACATTCGATAGAGAGGTGCAGAGTATATGGCAGCGTAAATACAGTTTTGCAACTGTACTATGGGTTCTGGTAAACTTCAGCTCATTTGGGGTTAGTAATCAACGCTGAAATATCGCGCCTTGTAGAACAGATATGTGCTACTGCTGTCCTACTGTGCGATTACTCTAGGTAAGCGGAGTACTAGTTATACATAAAGTGCAAACTGAATCTCATTTCCCCATTGCTTCTAGCATTCTTCCTGCCATTTACAACACAGGCAAGCAATTCAATTTCGTATTTCTGACTAGGCGCGCCTTATACCAGTCATTCCTCAAAATATTTTAGCAGTAAGTTTTTCGCTGTCCTAGCTTTGGCATCTCTCACCGGTTCGTAAATAGATGTTTGACATTTGTTAAATTTCCTGGGACGATCCAAATCATATCGAATGCTGCTACAGGCCTTACGCTTTCTCTTCGAGTGTATGCGCTGTACGGAAGAGACTGGGTATGTAATTATCCATGCAACTCGAATCTGATTGATGATAAGTTTGATAAATTAGAAAGTCTTCCTTTTACTCGTTCCGACCTTCGTTGTAGAGATGGTGATAGAAGCGGTAAGTGCCTTTCTACAAGCAGACGGAAGATACTCTGGCTTATTGGAAGTAAAGTGGGCAGTAGCAGGTGGTGTTCCGGTGCCTATTCCTCCAGGTTTACACTTCCATCTCTCGCATCTAAAAGCATATCACTGATAAGGCGTAGGACAAGTTGGATGTATACTAACGGGGAAGCCTAATCAGTAAGCAATAATTGGATGTAAATCACTCCTTGATTCTTATATGAACAATCCAGAGGAGATCGTACGCTACGCGTTTCATAGGATTTCGCAACATATATTCATTCGAACTCACTAGGCTTTGCCGCTTTCTGGATCGGCCAACTCATTTTCCCTTCGGTCATTTTCCTCCTTACTACTGGACGGGTTCTCGTGATGAAACAGCAAGGCACTATTAAGGGAGGAATTACAATGCTGCTATTACGAGACGGTGCGTGTTCGACAGTTAGAAAGGCCGAACACAGTGGTTAACATAAAAGGATATACAGGTGTAATGTATTTTGCGTTAGTACTAGTGTTGTTTTTATGTAGGTGTAGATCCAGAGGGATCTGACTATCTTGCAGGATGATATTCACGGTGAACCTTGCGAATGTTTTGACATACGTGGTGCGTTGAGCTTTCTATGCACGTTTTCTTAACTTAGGTCGTTCTGACTGACAATCTTCTTAGATTGCACCAGTAAGGCTAAACCTTCCATTTCCGGAATGAGTGAAATTCGTCTAACACATCCTCAGCCTGACATCCAAGCCATAAACGCACCTTTCTCCGCCCTCATCACAGCAATGATGATATGTCGACTTATGCTAAACCTTCGAAGCGTTGGTACTTCAAATATCGAAAACAACCCATACATACGGACGCGTACGGGTAATATCATCTCAGAAACGCTTGTTGGTAACCTCGGCGAGGCTTTGGACGTCGCTGGTGACTGGAAGGAGCCTAAAGACGATCATATGAGGCACGAATTTTCGAGCAGCCAAGTTTATGAACTCGACACGATCAGTAGATAATGAGCAAATGTTGTTTATGACTTGTTGTATTGTTTCCGCTAAGGAATCCGCTTTATCGTACTTTCTTACGTAATATGAAACACAATCTCGACCTGCACGACTCAACTCCTTTATTTCAGTTCCATCAATACACTGCAATAATACTAATAGTACATACAAGCCGAACAACTTCAGATGAACAAGCGAAGCTAGGACGAAAGAACGACACGAAGAATACAGCTGCAAAGACAGCGACAACAGCGAAAGGACAGTACGTGTGGTAAGATAAGGAAATCAACGAAACTAGGACTTGCTATCACAACACAATATGTACAATTAATAAACTAATGTGCGAGGTGTGGCTATATGCGGATCGAATCAGCCAGAAAGCAAGCAAATCGTTAAACATGCTATGGACGGGATTCGGGCATCGCAAATAAGCGTGAAGATAAACGGTGGAGGGACCGTGTCCACGGTGGGCTGTTTTTCTTCCTTACAGATATACTCTCAAGCAAGAGCAGAGAGCACACATCCAATACCAATACCTGCGCAGAAGAGTGCGAGGCTCCAACGCAGAACACGCCAACCTCCATTCCCGGCATCTGTCCCGCCTTTACCTCTCCTGGATTGAGACCTCGACAAAGAAGGACGCGCTGTTGTGAGCGTATCATCCAAAGTTGCGCTTTCTGTCTTCAATCGTGGACTCTGGCTGAGGGAGGGAGGTCGAGGTGAAAGGAGTGACATGGACAGCAGCACTAGCGAGCGGAAATGAAGTGGATCGAGCGCTGGCGAGAAGCATGGAGCTCCGGTGAACAGTACGCTATTTGAAAGGGAATTGTACCCGGAACTCGAATTAATCTTGTCATGCTGCAAACGCCGTGCGACGTCCTCAGATAACATCGTCTCCCATGCGGCCTTGCTCCATTTCTCCACGGCCTCGGGGTTTCCTGTATACTGCGTTATTGTGGAACGCCTGTTCGCCGCAAACCCATGTGCATGAGAAATCGCAGATGTCCGGTAAGGAGGTGCAATATCTTCGATGGCCCGTTCGACTTCGCGCCATCTCATGAAACGATCGGCCGCTTCGGCGCGGAGCGCAGCTACTGTTTGAGGTGCACGAAATAGGCCGGTACGGAGCGATAGCTGCGAGTGCGGCTGGAAGCTTGATAATTTGGGCTGCGAGCTAAGACCACGTGAGAATGGCGTGAGAGCGGATGATAGAGAAGTTGTGCAGAATGGTACGACGGGAATCGCGGAAGACAGGGCCGAGATGATCTCGCAATCTTGTTGGGTCAATGCTGAGAGAGCTTCAGTAATAGAACAAGGAACTACGAAAGGAGGCACATACGGGTGGCAGTAACGTAAATCAACGCGGTGTACAGCGGAGAGTGTGAGGACGAGAGGAGGGAGTGTAAGAGCGGCGAAGACGGAGAGCCGACGGTTTGATCGCGGACATCACGAAACACATCGTGAATAGGTTCGAGTATCCGTTCTGCTACACTTTCAGGCTATAAATGAGAGTATTAGATATTAATCTGTTAACTGAATGTAGGAATGCTCAACTCACCTTTACAGTAGAATCGAACCCGTCAAGCTCCGTGAAGCTGACATTGGCCGTCCCTTCGAAGCGTTCAAGTCCGTGAGCATCATGCTCTTCAATCCAGTCCGTTGAGACGCGTAATACTCGGCCGCCCTGAATGTCTTCCCACTCAACAGAGTCGACGACGTCATCTGCGTCGGCAAGGAACTCGGCGAGCGCAGTCTTGCCTGATCCTGAGGGTCCAACCAGCAGCAATGACAAATCTCCTAGAGTCTGTCCGTACGGAGTCGGATGCTGTAGCGCAGAGGGCAGGGTAAGCGAGGGGATGATAAGACCAGGCCCTGAGTCGTGCACGTGTTCTTGTTGACGGGGTTGTGAGTGGGGTGAGCCTGCACTTGAGGAGAAGAAAACACTCGACGAGCCCGATGGGAAGGAGGAAATAGAATCAAGGTCGAAATCGGTGTATGGATCGAGCGGTGGACTGTCGGGCGGCGATGGAAGTGATCCGGAGTGACTTGAGTGAGGTGACGCATGTATACTAGTATGGTCGTGGCACTCGCAGTGATTGCAGACTCGAGCTGAGCTCTGCGACAAACGTCGTCGCGGCATTACTTGGGCAGCCGAGCTGGCTGTGCTTTCCATCGTCGACATTGTACTAGATGGCGGGGAGAGAGGAAGGAATATTGGGGGAATATTACTATTAGGAGGAGTGAAAGCACATCTCGGACAACGACTGAAACGAGGCATGTGCGTGGGCGTGACACTCGGATGACGTAATTAAGATAAGATTAGATAAAGCACGTGGCTGTTCTTGTCGCATGTATTTCCCGCGTGTTTTCTTATGTTCTCCCCAGTCTTTTGCTAGGACAAATTGCTACCCCAGCTCTTTCAATCACGAGCTGCTTCCTCCTCCGCGATAATTGACCATTTGACTGCCGCTGCTTCGATAGAAATGATCTATCTGATAACGAACCTAGACTCGTCTCTGACCGTTGGCGGTCCACAGATCGCGGCCCGATATAGCGCATTAAACTGGACCTAGAAGACCTTTCAAATCAGTTCAGAATATTCTTGTATCCTTACCCTACTTCGAGCCAAGACATACTTGGTTGCTCTGTGGAAAGCAGGAACTAAAAACAAAAAAGACGTGAAGTGCGAATTCAAGTGAAACCGATGTCCGGTGTTTGTGAGTTACTCTATGGCCGTACATTCATCCTTTTGGGATCTTTATATTGACGGGTCCCTGGTTCTTTTCCTTTCATCAATGTGAGCATCGATGCATCATAACAAATAGCTGGTTTCTCGCAATGCTAGTGGCGTGCTGATACAGTTTCTGAATCAAATCCGTTACCGGGTACGTAATTGCCCTCAATGCTGTAGATTAGGACGTACAAGGAACTAATTCTAGAATCCTTTCGAATACAAATAGCTCCCTGTAGCTCAGAGCACAAATGTAGCGGTGTCAAGACCAGTGAGGGGAGACGATGTAGATTGGGTGACAAGACAAGATTCCATCGGTAGGCTATAATTAACAACAGTGTAAATTTTCGAGTATCCGCTCAATGCTACGGCATTCGGGAGTACAGTAAATGGAAGCAAGCAAAACTTGAAGACGTGGTGATAGGCCAACCCGGGTCTCAGGTTCCACCACGACTCACCATATGTACAAGTTATTACTCCTCAAACCGCTCGAATTCATCTATAGCTTTACGGCGAAAAGGGTATCACCGTTTCTCGTGCTCCATGCTCGGCCATTCCGCTGCCCGACGTTTGAAATGGCCGTCATTTATGTCTTCTAAAGGGACTGCGTATACAACTTTCGCCCTGGACACGGTGGTGGACGGACTTGGATATTGAATCATTCCGGTGAGAATTGAAAATACGGGCATTAACAAGAGTTCCCGTTCGGGAAACCCGCTGCGATATTGTTCCTTTGCGGATCAATGCTAAAGGTACGGCGTAAATATGACACGAACAAAGCAACAGTGCTTACGACTTGGATGGGATCCAATGCGTATTTAATCCTCCTGTCTACGACAAGGACTTCACGACATAGTCAACACTTACGTTTTCACCAATGGATAGTAAACCATCGACGCTTCCTGATCTACTCCTCTCTCGTTCCAAAGATTCCTCTGCTGAAATTGGCTTCCTGGATACAGAAGGGCGTATTTCAAGTTCCATGTCATATTCTGACTTGTACTCGGATGCAAGCAGAAATGCCCAGCGCCTTGCAGCTGCTGGATTAAAACCAGAATCAGATATCGTGGTGACGAGCTTCCCAGACCACGAAAGTCACATACGCATCCTATGGTCTTGTCTCCTCGGTAAGTCGTTGTTGGTTGCTTCAAGAATTACCACCTAACTTCAATGTTGTAGCTGGAATCCCTGTCTGCCCTATACCACCACTTCATCCAGACACGTCCCGTCAAGTGCTCTTTTTCCAGAATATTCAAACTATTTTCCACGGACCAACGCTCATCACCCACGAGCAAGCTATTCCTGGCATAAAGGCTGTATTCCCAGACATCAAGACCGTATCGCTGATTGAACTTGAAGCACATGCTATAGACGAGTCAACAAAGTCTTTAGTGTTTCCCGAACGTCGGGTTAAACAAGATGATATCGCTTGTCTCATGCTTACATCTGGATCAACTGGAAACTCGAAAGCTGTCGTTCTTCATCACTCGAACCTCTTGTCAAGCATTCGTGGCAAGATTAAACACCACAACACGACGTCGACATCTCGTTTCCTCAATTGGATTTCCTTCGATCACGTTGCGAGCGTTTCAGAGGCTCCGATGGCTGGTTTATCACTGGTGACAATGCCTATCTGGATCACGACGGGAATCTGCACCTCGTAGGGCGCGAAAAGGATTACATCAACATTAACGGAATCAAACGCCCGAGCATTGATATCGAGCATTTCATTGAAGATAGTGCAATAGACGGTGTCATGAGGTCGTTCGTGTACGTTTGTGCCATGCGCTTACCCGATACTGACACGGAGACGTATGCGGTCTTCTACCAGCACATGATTCGCGTGGAAGATGAACTCAGCGCGGAAGATATCCAGGCGATACTGAAGACAAATCAGGATATTCGGAACGCGTGCATCATTTTCTGTCAACTTGCACCGCACGTCATTTTTCCTCTGCCCCGCCAAAGCTTCGTCAAGGTGTGCAATGATTTTTGGTTCCGTGTTCCTGCCTGTCATTGTACTGATTACATTATACAAAGACTTCATTGGGCAAAGTTTCCCGGACGGCCCTCATGTCTTCGTACTTGCAAGGCGCGTACTTCGCTTTGGACTCAAAATTGCATACAAGGAATGCCTCGTCACCCTTATTGTCCATCACCAAGTCTCCACAGAATTCGATTGAGGAAATTGTATTAGAAGCAATCGCATCCGCCCTGGACAAGGAGAACCTGACACTGGGGCGTTCGCAGAGCGTGTTTGACATGGGTGTTTCGTCCATGCATCTTATGCGATTAAAGCACGTCCTTGAGGGGCAGCTTGGCATTTGAGACTTGCAAACAATAGAACTGCTGAAACGTCCAGAGTTTGGCCAACTCTGCGAATACCTGCATGGAATAGTGGAAGTTTATTAGATCGATTCGCTCATCTTTTCTTAGTGGCATAGGGTTTAAAATCTGTAAATTTTTTTTGTGAAAACGGGGTGTTCCTTGAGGAATGTTAAGCAGACCAGATAGCTCATCGATACCACTGCCTCGTGTCTGGTATTGCACCTCGGAACAACACTCTTGTGGAATAGCGTAAAGAAAGTGCCCAAATGGGACTGGAAGCCGCAATATAAGGTTTTGTGGGCATAGACATCGTAGCAAGGTGACAGCGGCAGTCACCGTGTCGAAGTGATGGTTGAGGCCATGTGCTGATGCATATGCATGTCTCATATTAGCATGCTTCTCCGTGCTATGCATGTAGCATTTGTGTGCTCAATAATGATGTTAGTACGTCGCACATGCAGTGCTAGTATAGTCATGAGATTTCAGTGAATGACTCCACATAACTGGATAGTGTCATAAGAAGGATTTTGACACCTGTGCTTCAGGAAGCCATCGAGTAGAGGCTGTACCCCATGCATGGAGCTTTCTGCATTGCCAGTTTCTTCCTCGGTAGGTGTCCCTTTTGTCTGTTCCTTGGAAACGTACTAACATCTGGCGATAAGCATCACGGTCCTAGCCCTTCGCATCTGGAAAATACTGCTTGGTTCCTTCGCGGTCAACATCTCAACGCAACCTTGGAAATAAACGAAGTAGTCCATTAACAGCATGCAAGCGGAGAGAAATGACGAAAGGACCCAAGATTAGACGCGCATCTATTCTCGAGTGTTAGTCGATATTTCGGTCAAGGAAGGTACAAACGTACGTGTATTAGTACTTATTCATTTTGATACCGTTTCGCAAAAAGTGTGGGCTATTCTCATGTACGCTTTCATTGTCGCACGAATGGATAACGAGACGGAAAGACTCTGGGCTACGATTCTGCGTATTGAATACACTCCAAAGATTGACATGTGGAATGGCTTGTTAGAGGGCTACCGCGATACACACCAGGTTGAGCAAGTACTATTAACGTGGGACGTTATGAAAAAGGAACGGTTATGAGACACGAGACATTAATAAAGCTAAACATTTTTTGTAGACTCTTATACTGGCTTTTATACAGAGAGGAAAGGGATACATTTTGACTTTGTCAATACAACAACACAAAACACAGGAAACAAAGTGCAAAGAGACAACTACAAGGGTAATATGACAGTAAGGATTAGGAAATAGTAGAACACAGTGAAATACACACGAAGATATTGAGCTCCATAGCAGGTAAGGATAATAGATGGCTGCTGGGTACACCCTACTTCAAAAAAGATATGCATTAGTGAATATCTCACTGACAGAGATGACAAACAAAGATACCATTGAATTTTTGACTTGGATCACTTCAGCCTTCAGTTGTTTCCAGGTTGTAACTGTGGTTGCACGGGCAGGGATAATCATCTTGTCACCTCGTCTAACACTCCATGACTTTATGCCCTGAGTGTTGTTCTTGACAATCACGGTACGATTATTACAACTGTCTGAAACACCACCTCCTTTCAAGGTCGACCGGCCCTGGCCCCAATCCACATCCGAGTCAGCGTCGCTCATTTTGTTTAACATTGCGTCAATGGCCTGTAGATCATCGGCTGATAGCGACATAGCTGCTTTATACAAGTATTGTGTGCTTGGATTAGACGACAAGCTTAAGGGCCTCTAAAGGAGGATGGGACGCATCGGTTTCAAGAGCGGG